CCCCCCCGCTGGGATTATAGGTGTGCACCACCACCACGCCCATACTCGGTTGCTGACTTAGCATGCCCTGGAGGCAGTGCTCCTGTACTTAGTCCACTGAGCTATCTCGCTGGTCCCATGTCCCTGGGATATTAAGGAGTCAGAACCTTTTTGGTGCTTGCTCTTGGCTGGGTACTGTGTGGGGGCCTGAGGTGTTATTTTTTGGGGTGGGCTTTTTTTTTTTTTGCGGAACCAGGGATTGAACTCAGGCCTTTGTGCTTGCCAGGGAAGCGCTTAGTCCACTGAGCCATCTCCCTGGCCCCTAGGGGTGGGCTATTTATAAATTTATCTTAACACCGAAGAGCCAAGGTGAGCCAAACATGGAGTCATGTTCCTATAATTGAAGCACTATGGGAGGCTGAGGTAGGAGGGTTGCAAGTTAGAGCCCAGCCTAGGCAATTTAGCAAGTCTGCAAGGCCTGTCTCAAAATAAAATAAATAAATAAATAAATAAATGGGGCTTGGACATGTAGATCAGTATGGAGGCTCTGAGTTCAATCCCCAGTACTTTAAGGAAGGCTCAGAGCAGAACTGAGCTGTCCTAGGTGAAGCGGATAGCAGAACAGGGGTGGTTCCGAGCCTATCCTGGAGCCGGATAGCTGGGTACAAGTCCTGGCTCTGCTCTTTAGATGGGAGACCAGCCATCTCCAGTCTCCAGGCCTCGCTTTCTTCTGTAGTATGTGTGACAGTCACAGCTATTGCCCAGTGTCAAGGTCTGCAGATGGTGTAGCATAGTGCCTGGCTCCATGGCAGACATAGAGGACATGAGTGTTTGTGGCTGCTTGCTGTTCTGGCCCGCATGGGTCAGGCAAGTATGATTACAGGCCCCTGTGTCAGGGGAGGGATGAGTGTGGGCAATGCAGGAGAGCTGCTCAGGTTGGTGTAAATGCTCACTGCGTATGCAGAGAGGGTGGAGCAGGAGAGGCCATTTAGGGTGTGCGACTGGATTCTGAGGGCAGGAAAGGGGAGATAGCTCGAGCTAGGACCTGTGACTGGAGAGTTAGATTTTCAGTTCTTCGAGCTGATTGGAGCCAAGTGTGGTAAAGCACCTCATCCCTAAACTGGAGGCTAAGAAAGAGGGATCTTTGTGAGTTTGAGACTAGCCTGAGCCATGTAGTGAGACTGTCTCATTAAAAGAGCTGGCTATGGCTGTGCATGCCTGTCATCCTAGCACCCAGAAGGCTGAAGCAGGAAGAGTGTCATAAGTTCAGTTCCCACCTGGACTCCATAATGAGTTTATGATCAGCCTGGATATGCAGCGAGGCCCTGTCTCTAAATAAATAAATATAAGATTGGACACACCCTCATTTTTTGCGGGGAGGGGGATGGGACAGATAGGGTCTCATTGTAGTCCTGGCTGACCTTGAACTTAAGGTGATCTTTTGGCCTTAGCCTCTTTAGTGCTAGGGTTACAGGCATGTACTACCACACTCAGTTGGACCCCCATGTTTTTCTGATCCCATAGTAGTGGTGCAAACCTTGTTATGCAGAGATGGACTTCACATTTGAGGGAGAATTCTCCCTGTCCCCTGTGAATAAAGAGGGAATAGACAAACATGTTCAGTGGTCTGTGTGGGCATTCATTCTTACTGTGTCCTCTGTGTATCTAGGGTAACAGAACCATAAAGTAGAACTTTCAAAATGAAAGGTGGTTCTATTTTAAGTAAAAAAGACAAATTTAAAAAATACAAGAGAATTGAAGCATAGTAATGAATAAAAGGATGTAGATATTCCAGAAAATAGTAGTCCAGGTTGCTACAATGGTTGAGTGCAAGATTTGGCTCTGAGCTTCCTTGGAGCAGGGCAGAGCGAGATTTGCTCCTTGGGGTAGCATTCCTAGAGGTGGAAAATAAACTGGTCCTTTGTATATTTATTTAGCCATACTGGATGTTGAACTCAGGGCCTTTACATTACACTACCAGCCCCCCCCCTTTTTTTTCCATTTTTTATTTATGTCTTAGGTATAGAGTCTCACTGCACAGCTTGTACTTGTGGTGAGTCTCCTGTTTTCAGCCTCCCCAGCACTGGGATTATAGGCACACATGTCATGCCAGCTCAGTGCAACCTCCGGGTGGGGCTGGCACTGCTTGTGAAACCAGGGACCAAACCCTGGCTCCTCCACTTGAGAAAGCAGGGGCTTAGTACACTGAGCTATCTTGTCAGCCCTAACCCTTTTTTGTTTGAGACAAGGTCTTGCTAAATGAATGACCTACGCCAGGCTGGAATTTAGGATCTTCCTACCTTAGTTTTCTGGAGCTGAGTTTGCAGGCATGAGCTACCATGCTTAGGTTTATTTTTTATTTTGCTGTGCTGGGAATCTGAGAGTTGCTGTATCACTGAGTTATATCTCTAGTCTCTTTTTATTTATGTTTCAAAATTTGAGACATGGTTTTCCTAAGTGGTCCATCTAAGTCTAGGTTCAAACTTGCAGTCCTCCTGCTTTAGCCTCCCAAGTAACTAGGATTATAGGTGAATGCTACCATTCCCAGCTAAACTGGTGGCTTAAGAGAAGACTTTGTTCTTCTATTCCCAGCACCATGGGGAAACCATGATGCTTCCTATGGATACTATGGGAGAGAAGTGGAGCTTCATTTCCCGGTGGTCAGATGCCTAGCTGCAGATGTGGCCAGTCCTGGGTTCTAATCCCACACTACCACCAGTTGTCTGCCAACCTCAGGGCACTTCAGCTGCTTTACCTTTCCTGCTTCAGCTTCTTTCTCTGGAAAGGAAGATGGTAGTCACTGCTGTCCCCTCTGATGTGAGGAATCAGCAACACAGGACTGGCAACTACTGCTCCTGGTTCCTGGCGTGGGGCTTGGGAGCCACAACTGGTGTTCATACCTGGGACCCCTGGGCTATGCTGGCAATGTGGGCTGGTGTGTGAGGAGGTGCTGGACAGAGAAGGGGGAGCTGAGCCATGGTTTGACGTGGACCACAGAGTGTGATCCACCTTGACTGTGCTCTATACTCCCTGACATCAGTCTCCTGTGTCCCTGCAGTGCTCCAACTCTTCTGCAGTTCTCCCAAGGCTGCGCTCCGCTATGCTGCCGTCCGCACTCTCAATAAGGTAGGAGTGTGGACTTAGGCAGACCTGGTCCCTGTGAGCCTTGGGACAATGGCACCAGACCAAGTCCTGCCCAGGAAGTGCCAGATGTATCCTGCCTTCTTTGTCCCTGTCATCCTCCAACCAGGTGGCCATGAAGCACCCATCTGCTGTGACCGCCTGTAACCTGGACCTGGAGAACCTGGTTACAGACTCAAATCGCAGCATTGCCACACTGGCCATCACCACACTGCTCAAGACAGGCAGCGAGAGCAGCATTGACCGTCTCATGAAGCAGATCTCATCCTTCATGTCGGAGATCTCTGATGAGTTCAAGGTACTGCGCTGGGCCAGGAGGGCTCTGCACCTAGTGTTGCTGGGGGACCCTGGGCAGGGGTGTCACCTTGTGGATCCTCAGTCCTGAGAACAAGCACAACCCTGTCACCTGCCCTCCTCCACTTCAAGTATTTATTAACCACTTGCTATCCACTGTATTAGGAGTTTTAGGAGAAGGGAACATAACAGTGAACAGGACAAGCATCTTCTCTCATCCTTTTTCTGGGCATGTAGTCCTAGCACTAGGAGGCTCAGGTAGGAGAACCCCCGAGTGTGAGGTCAGCCTGAGCTACATAAGTGAGTTGGAGGCCAGCCTGAAAAACACAGCAAGGCTCTTCCCCACTCAGGTTTTTACTTTGGTACTGGAGATCATACTTGGGACCTTGTGCTTACCAGGCAGGTGCTTATGCTGTTGAGCTATATACCTGCCCCCACTTAAGTATTGAAAAGAGCTTTTCTGTGCAATGGATAAGCCATCAAGTAAACAATTGAGTGAATTTGAGCTGGGACTGGTGATGTATGCTTGAAACCTGGCACTCGGGAGACTGAGGCAAGAGAACTGCCATAAGTTGAGGACTGGCTTGGCTATATAGGGAGTTCAAGGTCAACCTGGACTATACAGTGAAACCCTGTGTCAAAAATTAAAAAAAATAAAAGAGAAACCAAACAGGTGAGCCAGATGATTTCAGGCATGGGTGATGCCACAGAGAAAATCTAGAAACACAGTTGAGGTTGCTGGTGAGGGCTCCCATGTGAGCCACCTGCCTGGTGACTGGGGAATCACAGGGTCCCCGTATGCCTGTGCAGTCCCTTCTCCCTACTCTGGTATCACACCCAGACCCGGGCCCTGCCAATGTAGTGGAGGACATTTCAACACTTCATTGGCACTCAGAAATGAGCCCTGGGGCCACCTCTCATGCCTCTCTGTCTGATGCAGGTGGTGGTTGTCCAGGCTATCAGTGCCCTGTGTCAGAAATATCCTCGAAAACATGCTGTCCTTATGAACTTCCTGTTCACCATGCTGCGGGAGGAGGTAAGGCTAGAGCCAGCCGGGACCTGCCACTGTTCTAAAGGGGCAGGGGCAGCCTGGCTGCTGGTGGCAAGCTCTTTGTGGGGTTAGAGCTCCTCTCTGTGGGTGTGCCTGGACAACCCATTAACCAGCTGTTTTCCTGACGCCTGAGGCCCTTTAAACACTATGCATGGGTGATATAAGTGTAATCATCATAATGACACTATGACTCACTGGCTTGAGGTAATGCTTATGCCTGAGATGAGTAAACACATGTTCTCTGCTGGTGGAGTCAAGTGTAGAAATATCTGGGGTGTTCCAGGAGCTCCCCGGGTGATTTCTTGTGAAACTGGCATTAATAATGTGACAGTGGTGCTGGGTTTGTTCCTCACATGGATTAGTGACTGCACTTGTTAGTGTCTCAGCTCATTTCTCAGGAGCAGAAGCAAATTGTCACAGAGTAGATTTGGTCCTCAGATAACTGGTGCCCTCTGCCTTGCCCCAGAGAGTCAAGGATCCAGCACTAGAAGAGACATTGTCCTGGGTGTCTGGGGTGTACATGGACACCAGGAGAACAGTGGCACTGATGCTTTGTGAGCCCTCAGGTCCTGGACCTAGCTCCTTAGAGATGGTACACAGTGTACAGTCCTGTGACCCTCCCAGCCTTACATGTTCCTGAGTTTTAAATATCTGCTCCTAATTTAAAATGTTTAAAACAGTACACTTTGTGAGGCAGGTGGTATTGCTCAGTTCTGAACATATATTCTGTCCCAGCACTTGGGAGGCTGAGGCAGGAAGATCACCACGAGTTCAAGGCCATCCTGGACTGCATAGTGGGTTCAAGGCCAGCCTGAACTACATAGTAAGACCCTGTCTCAAAAACCAAAACCCAAAATAAATGTACACATTAGGTGGTTTGAGTACAGGTTTCTTTTTTTTTTTTTTTTGCGGTACCAGGGATTAAACTTAGGACCTTGCATTTGTCAGGCAAGCACTTAGTCCACTGAGCTATCTTCCCAGCCTCCGAGCACAAGTGTCCTCTGTAACAAAGCTACTAGAGCCCAGTAACATCTATCAGCTCTGAGACTTCCAAAAGTCATGTTTTTTTTTTTTTTTTATTGAGAAATAAATATGAATGAGACAGTTTCACAGCTGATTAAGAGGATAGTTTTGATAATCAATACATTGTACATTGTTATCTTCTTAGTGGTTATCCATAGTACAAGAAGCAGACAGGATATTCTGTCAAAACGCTTTTAGTACACCTCTTTCTTCTTTTGAATTAAGCGAAAGTAGCTGTAAATTTATCCTGTTTTGTATATATAAATACAAAATGATCATTCCTTTGTATCATTTTTTTATTGTCTGTCAGAGGTGAATATTCTATTGGCATCTAAATACTATAGGTGTTTGAATTCAACTAAACAATCTAACACTGTCTAGCAGTCTACAATATTAGTGAGTTATCCTCAGAAGTTATTGACTTGAGCCTTTTCAACTCATTGTATTAATATGGCTTTACTTTATATACCTTGTTTTTTATACTTTTCTCCTGGATGGTTAAGACCAAGATATAACAAGACCTATATAACAAGAAATGTAACTTTCTTTTTTTTTTTTTTTTTTTGTGGAACCGGGAATTGAACTCAGGCCTTTGCACTTGCCAGGGAAGCACTTATTCTACTGAGCCATTTCCCCGGTCCCAAGAAATGTAACTTTTGTATCTGATAAGGTCAGCCAAGTACTCTCAGGATTTATCCTGTAGCCCTGTACCACCCTTTTGTACATCCTTTTGTAAGTGTCAGACATGTGGATGAGTCACGGCCATTGCTTGACCAATTTTCTCTCTGTGAAGGTCTGAGAAAATGTTTTTTCTCTCCATGTGACTCTCCCCAGGTACACTATACATCATCGAACACATTCCTCTGTGGTTCCATAATCTTCTTGATCAGAAAATTTGGAGCACAACTGAGTTACATGTTGTTACAGTACAGGTTCTCCTATGTCCCGAGTCTTCACTGACTTTGAAAGGCTAGGGCCAAAATATCGGCTGACCTTGCAGCCCTTCCTTTTCGTCAATTTTGAACTGCTAACTTAGGTTGTTAGCCCTCCAGAAGAGAAGCTAATTATTAACCTGCAATATATGCAGTTCGGTTTACTCTATCTGTCTAAATATCAAACATTTTGGCAAGCACTCAGTCCACTGAGCTGTCTTCCCAGCCTCCGAGCACAGGCGTCTTCTGTAACAAAGCTGCTAGAGCCCAGTAACATCTGTCAGCTCTGAGACTTCCAAAAGTCATGGTTTTCTAAAGTCAATTATGATTATGCAAGCCAGGCATGGTGCCAAATGCCTGTAATCCCAGCACTTGGAAAGCTGAGGCAGGAGAATCACTCCAAGTCTGAGGCCAGCCTGGGCTACATTGTGAGTTCAAGGCCAGCCTGAATTATATAGAGATCCCATCTGAAAAGAAATAATGGAAAAAAAATCAAATCTAGGGATTTATTTAGATTTTTCCTTGGTAACAGTCTGGTGACATCCTGTTCAGGAGGGACTTTCTCTTAGGATGGCACTCTTTGTTGACATAAAGCACTTTCTGTTCCTCGGTTATATGCCTAGTGCTTCTGGCCTCTCACTTGCCACTTCTCATTAAAGTGCATAGCATAGTGTACAACCCTCACTACCATCTATCTTGTGACTTTGACATTTTTAGCAGAAGTTTTGTCCCTGGTAAACTAGCTGTGTGTCCTCTTGCCAGGCCGAGTCACCATTCCATTTTCTGTCTCTGATTGACTTGTCCAGGTGCCCTGTCTGAGTGGCATTGGGCAGGACTGGTTGGTCTCTTTCTGCTTGTTTTAGTTCATGTTGCATCATGCCCTTGAGGTTTCTCCAGATTACAGCCTGTGTCGGAATGCCCTTTCTTCTTAAGGCCTGGTGGGTGGAGTCACAGTATAGGACACTAGGGCACTTAGGATGCTTTCACATTTGAGTTGTTACGATCCGTACCTGTTTGACTCTGCTCTCAGCTGGTCAGGGCTCACAGTGGAAGTAGAACTGATGGGTCAGTAATGATTTTGTGTCTGATTCTTTGATGTAGCCCATTCTGCCTATATCTCATCTCAAGAAGAAAAACAGTTCTGAAATGTTCCCATTAAATTCCTATTGGCAACAGAAGAGCTCCCTCTGCACCCAGGGCAGATGCTGAGACCCAGTGAGCTGGAGCCTTGAGGCTCCATTGTGGCCTCATGTCCCTGGTCCCAAGTCTGGCCAGGCTTCAGCTCCAGGCTTAGCTCCATCCTCCCTGCAGGGTGGCTTTGAGTACAAGCGTGCCATCGTGGACTGCATCATCAGTATCATCGAGGAGAACTCTGAGAGCAAGGAGACGGGGCTGTCTCACCTATGTGAGTTCATTGAGGACTGTGAATTCACAGTGCTGGCCACACGCATCCTGCATCTTCTGGGCCAGGAGGGGCCCAAGACCAACAACCCCTCTAAGTACATCCGCTTCATCTACAATCGCGTGGTGCTGGAGCACGAGGAGGTCCGTGCAGGTGCGTCAGGGCCAGGAGGACAGGACTCCTGGCCCCTTGTACCTTATGAAATAATTTTATATCATTGTGGAAAGAACTTTAGATGTCATCTAGTTAAATGGTAGGGATGTAACCTGTGTAAACTGTTGACTCTTTGAAGTATCATTTTATTCTTTTGAGGCAGGATCTTGCTATGTAGCCAAGTCTGGGCTCAAGTTTAGGATCACCTTCCTCAGCCTCTCGAGTGCACCATCATGCCCTGCTTGACTTAAAAAACCAAAAAACAAACAAAAAAAAAAAAAACAGGGTCTAGGGGCTGGCAAGATAGCTTAGCGGTCTAAAGCACCAGCCTAGGCAAAGCACAGGGACTGAGGTTTGATCCCCAGCACCACATGCCCTGCTAGCTCCAGCCCTAGGGCTGGTTGAGCCAGCCACAAAAGAAAGAAAAGAAAAAAGGGCCAGTCAAATAGCTCAGCAGATTAAAGTACCTACAAGCAGAAACAGAGGCCAGGGGTTCCATCCCCGGACCTGCTGTGCTGGCCCTGCCCCAGGGGCATGCTGAGATGGCAGTTGAGACTGGGCGAGGTGGCGCATACACCACCTTACACACCTGTAATCCCAGATCTTGGGAGGCTGTAAACAGTCAAATCACTTCGAGTCCGATCTAGTAGTGAGACCCTGAACACCTTGTAGAGCCTTCCCTAAAAATACAAAAAAAAAAAAAAAGGAAGAGGAAGGAAAAAAAAAAAAGAAAACAGGGTCTCACTGTGTAATTCAGGCTGGCTTTATCTCCCATCTTAGCCTCCTAAGTGCTGGGATTACAAGTGTGTGCCATCACACTGTTTGCAACCAGCCTTTTTTTTTTTTTTTTTTTTTTTTTTTGGTGGAACCAGGGTTTTGAACTCAGGCCCTTGTGCTTGCAGGCAAGTGCTTATTCTACCGAGCCATTTCCCTGGCCCCAACCAGCCTATTCTTACCTCATTTTTCTTTATAATTTTTTCTTTTCCTTTTATGCCACCCTATTGGGCAGAATTTTTCCTTTCAGCATTTGATACACATTAAGCAATGGTTGTTTCCTCATTTGGTTGTGAATGGAAGTGGAGAAGCCTGATGTGGACAGCTCCTCAGCCTTGTCACAACAGTGTAGAAGTGGCTTCTTGGGTGGAACTTGGGAGCTGCTGGCAGCATTGGCTCCTGCCCTGTGAAGTAAACGTGGTACTGGTGCCAGTGGCTCCAGGGCTGGCTTGGTATGGCGCCCTGAGCACTGCAGAACCACCTTTGCTTTCTGCGCAGGTGCCGTGAGTGCTCTGGCCAAATTTGGAGCCCAGAATGAAGAGATGCTGCCCAGCATCCTGGTGCTGCTGAAGAGGTGCGTCTGCACCTGGCTTGGGGGACAGCATTCCCTCAGCCAGGAAGTTTTGCTATGTCTTTCAATCAGGAGGGGAGAAAGTATACACAGCTGTTGATTGTATGAAAAAAATAATAAATTAGAAAAGCAGTGTACAAATCCTGTCACTTACAGTGACTATTTGTAACTGGAGTATTCCATTTTTAAAAATAGTTATATTGGGCGAGCATGGTGGAGGACACCAATAATCCCAGCATTCTTGAGGCTGAGGCAAGAGGATCAAAACAAGCTCAAGAACAGCCTAGGCCACATAGTGAGACCTTGTCTGAAAAAAAAAAAAAAACAAAAAACAAGCAAACATACAAAATTATTTATTTCGTACTGGGAATTGAACTCATGACCTCACATTTGGCAAGCAGGTGCTGTACTATTGAACTATATCACTAGATCCCAAATTTAAAATAAATAAATTTAAACATTTCCTTCATGCCAAAAAGAAGCTCTGTGTTTTAGGGGCCGGGGAGATAACTCAGTAAAATAAGCGCTTGCCTTGCAAGTGCGAGGGCCAAAGTTCAATCCCTGGTTCCACCACAAAACAAACTGTACCTTTTATAGCCATCCTCTCTGATCGGTCCTGTTGTATGTAAGGAGTCTGCCTTTTATCCTTTTATTTATTCATTTTTATGTTTTTGAGGTGGGGTCTTGCTATGCAGTTCAGGCTGGCCTTAAGCTCAGTTTGTAGCTCAGGCTAGTCTCGAACTTACACTGATCCTCCTGTATCAGCCTCCTGAGTGCTAGGATTACAGCTGTGCACCCCCACTCTTGTATATTCTGATGCCTGGATTCTAGACTTGTTTGATCTCCCATTTCTGGGGACTGAGCACAGTTTCAGGAGACCAACTCCCCTCTCCTGTGGCCCCCAGTGGTGCCCTGCAGTATCCTTCCTGCTGTCCCTGCCAGGCCCTGTCAGTAGCCTCTTATATCCTGGCTACAGGTGTGTGATGGATGATGACAACGAAGTAAGAGACCGAGCCACCTTCTACTTGAATGTCTTAGAGCAAAAGCAGAAGGCACTCAATGCTGGCTATATCCTAAACGGTGAGTCTGGTGGCATCTGTGACCTATGCCTTCTCTATGGCCAGAGGAATCTGAGACAGAGATGACGGAATTTGTCTGGTGACCCCATGATTTTGTGATGACCTTGAGCAGTGCCAGGTCATGAAAGTGGAAACAGCTCAGTAAGTGGGGACACTTGTCATTCATAAAAACTTCTGTCTTCATACCAGTTTACTTTTTGATAAGTCTGTGTCTGTGTTTGTGTTTATTCACTAAGCAGAGGCTGCGAAGGTTAATGGATTTGCTCTTGGTCAGACCACTCCCCATCCACAGTGGCTGCTCTTACCCTTGTGCTTTCTGTTGTACTAGTCTCTGGTGACCTCTCCTGCTGGCTTCTAGGTCTGACTGTGTCCATCCCTGGGCTGGAGAGGGCTCTGCAGCAGTATACTCTTGAACCATCAGAAAAGCCCTTTGACCTCAAGTCTGTGCCCCTGGCTACCACACCCATGGCTGAGCAGAGACCAGGTAAGGCCAGAGTCTTTGCATGATGGCACTGACTGCCAACCCTGGAGCTTCACCAAGGGTGGGTAGAGTTACTAATCTCAGGACTTGGAATTTATAATATGTGAGTAACAGTGCTAGGCCAGTGCCCCTGCCGCCTGTTCCTGAAGCTGTTGGTCACTGTGTGTGTCTCCTTCTGCAGAAAGCACCCCTATCACAGCCACCAAACAGCCTGAGAAAGTGGCAGCCACCCGGCAGGAGATCTTCCAGGGTGAGTAAGGGTGCCCCAAACCAGCGAGCAGGGTCAGTATGGGGATACTTACTCTCAAAGGACTAATATACTCATCTCATGGTCTGGGTGGGGTCAGGCCTTTAATAGTGAGCACTTTAAGCTGGCCATGGTGGCAGACTCCTGTCTCTTAGAAACTCAGGAGGCTGAGGCAGGAGGATTACTATGAGGTTGAGGGCAGGGTGTTATTTGTCAGGTTTGAGCTCCCGTAGTAATACACCATTCCAAAACAAAAGGCCAGGAATATAGCTTAGTGGCACAAGCACTTGCCTGGTGCCACTAAGAACAAGGTCCTGAGTTCAATTCCTGGCACTAAAACAAAACTACAGGGACCAGACAAGGAGGCTTGGGGGAGGGCGGAGTGACCTACCACTGCGCCCCAGCCCTGAGAAAGGCTCTCGTCATGCAGCGTAGAGGCCCGCCCACTCTGATGCTCTGTGGGCTGAAGCTCTCCCTGTCATCTGGCTACACTGCATGTTGGCCACCGCGGTGGCCACCTTCCTGTCTGTGCTGCCAGTCGTCCATGAACCCCTTTTCTCCGTCCCATTCCAGAGTGGTGTCTGCTGTTAACATGGCACCTTCCACACCCAGGAGTGGCCTGAGATGACGGGGCACGCTATGTCCGGCTGCTGCTCCTGCACAGTGCCACAAGCCTCAAGGCTAAACACAGGTGGCCCATGGCCATAGAGCGGGGAGAGCACAGTTCACGGCATCATGGGCAGAGGCTGCAACAGCCTGCTCAGAGCCCAGGCCTGTGGTGGTGCCCGTGGCCATAGCACTTGGCCATGGTGTCCCAGCATCAGCTACACCAAAGACTGCTGGCCTTTCCAAGTTAGCTCTTTGGCAACATGCTCATTCTGAAGTCCTGCTTCATGAGCCAGCTAGATAGGTAGCTTTCTGTTCTTTCCTTAATGTGATAAGGTATTGATATGTCATCCAGGATGACATTGAACTCACAGTGCTCCTCCTGCCTCACCCTCCAGAGCGCTGGTATTATAGGCATGCATGACCACCTGGTAGCTCTTTGTCCTGACTGGCCATGTGAGGAATCAACTTGTTCTTTGATGATAGTGTAGCTATAGCAGTGTGCACCTCATCTTCCTGACCTTTCCCTGGTTCCCACTTCCTTGTCAAGAATCCTCATTATGTCTCCAAAAGTGAGGAAACTCCAGCTAGGGTTAGGCCCAGGACAGTGGGGTCTTCTGCTGGTTCTGCTTCTGATGTCTTCCAAGGACAGAAGGGAGGAGAGGGAGTTGGGGGCTGGGGTGTGTACACTTTGAGCATGTGAGTGAGACACACACCTGTTCAGGTAGTGTGCACACCTCCTGTGTTTCATGTAGGCTGGAGACCTTGAGAATTGGCTGTGGACTTGTGTACAAACCATCACACATAGATATGGCTATGTCCACCTGGAATCCCAGCACTCAGGGAGGCAAGGCAAAAGAATTACGAGTTCAAGTCCAGCCTGCACAACTAGTGAGATGCTGTTTTAAAGAGACAGCAGAGCTAGTTGTGATGTTGCACACCTGTAGTCCCAGCAATTGGGAGTCTGACAGAGGAGGATCGCTGTGACTTCAAGGCCAGCCTGGGCTACATAGTGAACTGAAGGCCAGCCTGAACTGCACAGCAAGACCCTGTCTCAGAAAACTAAACAAGGGCCAGAGATTTAGCTCAGTGGCACAGCATCTGCCTGGCAAGTCCTGAGTATAGGACTGGTACAAAAATAAACAAATAAAACATGAAGGACTGGAAGTATAGCTTAGTACAAAGGTTCTAGATTCAGTCCTCAGTAATGCAAAAGAAACAAACAAAACCAAGTATTCTTAAATTGGCCTGGGAATGGAGAAGGTAAGCACATGTTGACTGTGGGTTTCAGAGCAGTTGGCAGCAGTGCCAGACTTCCAAGGCCTGGGGCCCCTCTTCAAGTCCTCACCCGAGCCTGTGGCCCTCACTGAATTGGAGACGGAGTATGTAGTCCACTGCACCAAACACGTCTTCACTGAGCACATGGTGTTCCAGGTGAGCAGGGTGGGATGGCTTCTGGGGTCTCAGGACTCAGTTCTCCAGGGTCCTGGCACCCCTGCGCTGCTGGCATCTCCTGACACCTCTGGAGTGGGTAGCAGAGTGTGTCTCCAGCAACAACTTTCCCCAAACCTCCTGACAAAGGACCTTTCTGGGAACACAGGAGGGATATGGGGAGCTTGAGACAGTACCTGGATGGGGAAAGGAGGCTCTGGGTGGGAAGTGGGGTCTCAGCTGGCCTGTGCCCCATCTAGTTTGACTGCACAAACACTCTCAATGACCGCATGCTGGAGAATGTCACTGTGTACCTGGAGCCCACTGAGGCCTACGAGGTGCTCTGCTATGTGCCTGCCCGAAGCCTGCCTTACAACCAGCCTGGCACCTGCTACACACTGGTGGCACTGCCCAAGGAAGACCCCACAGCTGGTGAGCCCCTCAGATGCCACCCAGCCCCCAGAAGCTATGGGAAGAGGTTGGGACTGAGCACTTGTCTCCTGGGTGCCTCACTCCATCCTCAGGCAAATTCTGCCATCCCTGGTCCTAGGGAGGAAGCTGAAGCCCTTGAGCCTGGCCTGAGTTCAGAACCAGGCCTGCCCAGTCTCAAAGCACCATCCTTTCATTGTGCCATGCTGTCTCAGAGATGGGCACAGCACACACTTGTTCCATTCCCTGTGCCCCACGGATGCTGCTGGCTTCTTGCCCTGTGGCCTTGGCTGTGACATGGTCATCGCTATTTGGTATCATCTCCATCTTGTCTCTCTCTTCCTTGCCCTGCAAGCGGTGGCCTCTGGCCTGCCTACCAGGGTTGGGTGGCCTGTCATAGCTACTGCCCACCCAGCAGAGGCCCAGAGGGCAGTCCAGGGACAGCCTGGTCACTTGGCCTCTCTTCCCACAGTGGCCTGCACGTTCAGCTGCATGATGAAGTTCACTGTGAAGGACTGCGACCCCACCACAGGGGAGATAGATGAAGAGGGCTATGAGGACGAGTACGTGGTAAGGAGAGGCATCAGGGGCCACAGAGCAGCTCTCCCTGTAGCAGCTGCTGGCCAGACTTGAGTTCTTTTCTTGTTGGTTTTAGCTTTAACATTCTAGTTAGCCAGGCATGGGGCCACATGGCTGTAATCCCAACATTGGAGGCTGAAGCAGGATTTCAAGTTCATTCCCAGACTGGGAAATTTAGCAACTTAGCACAATTTCTCCCAAAATACACAAAAAGGCCTGGGAATGTGACTCAGTGGTAATGTTCTGAGTTCAGTGCTTAGTTCTGAAAGAAAAAAGACATTAAAAGATACATTTTTTTAAACATGTGAAAGTACATACTCATCTGTAGAAAATGATAAAAATCAAAGCATAAAGAAATAGAGAAACAAAAAAAAAGAAAGAAAGAAATAGGGAAATGAAATATTGCCTGTAGTTCTTAGGTGTCCTTTTTTCTTTTCTTTCTTTCTTTAATTTTTTAGGGAGGGGTCTACTGGGTGTTCAGGGTCTCACTACTAGATCGGACTCTAGTGATCCGCCTGTTTACAGCCTCCCAAGAGCTGGGATTACAGGTGCGCACCACCTTGCCCAGTCTCAATTGCCATCTCAGCTCACCCTGGGGGTGGGGCTGGCATGGCAGGCCTGGGGATCAAACTCCTGGCCTCTCTGCTGAGCTATTTGGCTGGCCCTTATCATTGTCACTATTATTACTACTACTATTATTATTTTTGTCTGAGAAGAGTTTCAACTATGCAGTTCAGGCTGGCCTTGAACTTGCTTTGTACCTCAAGCTGGGCTTGAACTCACAGTGACCCTTCTGCCTCAGGCACCTGAGTGCTGGATAGCAGGTGTGCAGCCCCACGCCTGGTGGAAGTGTCATAATTGAGGTCATTCTGTACAGATCCTGCTGTTTTCCCTTGAAACGGGTATGTTTTCCTATCATTATAGATAGCTCAGGAGCACCTGATATGCTTGTCTGTGTAGCACTGGCGATAGCAACCAGCTGAAACTGTCTTTCTCCAGGCACACCCGCCTTCCACTTGTAGTGACTGAAACACCTCATGGGATGTATACAGCATAACAGCCTTGACCTTTCACTCCTTAACATTGGACCTTTGAGCGTCTAAACCTCAGTGCCTTTTAGAAAGTTGCACTAAACTTGTAGGGTATATATTTTCATCTGCATTTCAGAGTGGGTTTTTTTTTGTCTTTTTGAGACAAGGTTTTGCTATGCAGTTCAGGCTGGCCTTAAGCTCACTTTGTAGACCAGGCTGGTCTTGAACTCATAATAATCCTCCTGCTTCAGTCTCTCCAATATTGTGATTATATCTGTGTGCCACTGCACCTGGCTGTAGGATAGATTCTTGTTGAGTCAGAAGGTGAGCATGATTTCAGGACTTCAATTCCCAGACAAGTGCTTATTCTACTGAGCCATCTCCCTGGCTGGACTTCAATTCCCGTTTCGTGCTGCTTTTTAGGTAAATGAGACCCATGTGTTTGCTGGGCAGTCATTGCATCCCCTGAATGAGCTTTGCCGTGCTCATTCTCCAGGTGCAGAGGCCACTGCTGCTGGTGTCTCTGGGAAGGAGGCTGCTGGGGCATGAGTGCAGGCCCTGTGCAGTGCCGCTACAATGCAGATCATGATGTTCAGGAACAGGGGCCACCTGGGCTCCTTAGCCAAGGAGGAGCCACTGTGGAGCACAGCTGACTTTCACTGTGTGTCATCCTGGGGCTGTATTTAAGGGGGCCACCCCAGAGCTCCAAAAATTCCTCAGACCTCATTCCTTCAGAGCTGCGCCTGGCTTCCTTCTGCTGCAGGAACAGGGTCTTGCTTATGCTGGCCCCAAACAACCACCCTCAGGGCTTCTTGAGGGCATGTCTGACAGGATCTTCAATAGCCACGATCATTCTGTAGTGCGCGTGCGCGTGCATGCATATGTGTGTGTGTGTGGCTAGCGTCAGGGTTTCATCACAAATGGAACTAGGGTACTAGTGTGTCAGGTCAAATGATTACAACTACAGGGGAAGGACGATCTGGTGAAACAAATGGCCACTTCAGGACATGATGGTGCATTGTCTGTCATCCCAGCACTGGAGACATTGAGGCTGGGGGATTGCCATGAGTTCAAGGCCAGCCTGGGCTACATAGTGAGATTTTGTTTTAAAAAACCAAAACAATAAAAAGAAATGGTTGTTGCCCTGGAGCCATACCTATCCTTCCCAGAATGAAAGCCACAAAAAGCAGACTTGATCACCATGTGTAATGCTGGACCCCCGGTCCCCAAGGTCTGGCCTCTTGGTGGCTCAGGAAGGGCATGTCCTACTGTTAGAAAGTAGGATGAGTAGGACCCTAGGGGTTGATTGACTCTAGGGGTCAGGGCATTTGGGGTTGAAGGGGCACTGCTAGCCTTCAGTTATGTCAAGGGTGCCTGCCCCAGCACATTGCTGTGTCCCTGAAGCCCGTCACAGCTCAGTGCTAGGCATGCACAGTTGGAGACAGTGGAGGGTTGGGGGTAGCACCCAGGGGTGTGAGGTGCACACAGAGGGCTCCACTTTTGGAAATGGTGTCTGACTCAACCCCTTCTCCAGCTGGAGGACCTGGAGGTCAGTGTAGCAGATCACATTCAGAAGGTCATGAAAGTGAACTTCGAAGCAGCCTGGGATGAGGTAGGGGATGAGTTCGAGAAGGAGGAGACATTCACGCTGTCTACTATCAAGACGTTGGAAGGTAGGGGCTTGGCTGTCTCCAACACCTTCCTTCTAGACCTTTGGGTTACTGGAGGTACTCCTCCCCTTACTGCCTGAGCTGGGCCACTTCCCGGGCCCTCAGCACCTGGGGAGAGAATATAGGGCTTGGAGCTGGGGATAGAGCTCAAGTAGAGTGTGTACCCAGCCCACATAGGCTCTGGATTTGGTCTTCAGTGCCACAAAAACAAGCTGCATGGCTGAACTCTGCTGTTTTGTGTGTCAGAGGCCGTGGGCAACATCGTGAAGTTCTTGGGAATGCACGCATGTGAGAGGTCAGACAAAGTTCCAGACAACAAGAACACCCATACGCTGCTCCTGGCAGGTAAGCAGCCCTTCCAGTGCAGGGCTGGGAACTGCTCTGGGACACAAGGAGTCACAGTCCACTGCTTCTAAAACTTGCACACTTGTTCAAATCCTTCCTGGGTGATTTAGTGAGACCCTGTCTTGTAATAAGAAGGGCTGGGGATATGGCTCAGTGCAGAGGCACTGGATTCAATCTCCAGTACCACAAAAAGGAAAAAATTGACCAAGTATAAAAAACCCATGAAGAGATGTTGCTCTTCCCTACCTTTATTGCCACTGATTCTTCTGTCCCTCTAGCATGTGACCACCATTCCTGTAGTAAACAATGCTTGGGTATCATCCAGTCATTTTGTGGCTATAAAAGCACAGGAAGTAGTCAGATACAGTAGCCAAAGCCTGTAATCCCAGCACTCAGGAGGCTGAGGCAGGAGGATTGTTGTGAATTCATAGCCAGCCTAGGCTACAAAGTGAAGTGAAGGCCAGCCTGAACTACATAGCGAGATCTTGTGTTGTAAAACAAACACACACAGGAAGCTACTTGGGAGGCTGAGGCAGGAGGATTGAAGTGTCAGCTCAGCATAGGCAACTTAGTGCCATCACATCCCAAAATGAAAGAGCTGTGGGTTAGTTCACGGTACAGCAGCTGCCGCGCATGTGTGAGGCCTGGCTTTTATCTCCACATCATATTGGATTCCATCTCCCTGAATATTGAGTTGTATTCATCCAATAGAAATAGTTTCTAAAATAGCAGTGTGGTCCATTTCTTTCCTTTTCTTTTTTGAGACCCTATTTGATACAGGGTCTTGCTATGCAACTCTCACTCATAGTGATCCTCCTGTTTTCAGCCTTCTCAGATCTGGGATTACAGGCATGTGCCACTTCGCCCAGACTCATTGCTGGCACAGGGAGCCTCGGGCTGTGTTGGGGCTGGCACGGCATGCAGGACTGGGGATGGAACCCTAGTCCCTGTGCTTTGCCAAGATGGGTGCATAGTTCACTGAGCTATTTTGCTGACCCCCATTTCTATTTTTAAATTCAGACATTCATGTATAAATAGTACACACATGCTCTGCAGTTGGCTTTTTTACTTTACAGTGTATGTGGGAACAGACCTTATCAATTTTTAGATCTTATTCTTTTGTTTTTTAATTCTGGTAAAATATATGTAGCAAACTAGGTATAATAGTATCTCAGCATTTCAGGAGGCTGAGGCAGGAGGATCATACTTTCTAGCATGGGCAACTTAGGAAATTCCTTGGTTTTATTTATTTATTGATTTATGGCAGAACCGGGGATTGAACTCAGACCCTTGTGTTTGCTAGGGAAGCACTTATTCTACTGAGCCATCTCCCAGCCCCCAATTTAGGAAATTAATATGACTGTCTCAAAATTTAAAAAACAAAACAAAACAAAACATAGCACTGAGGATATAGATCAGTGAAAAGGCCCTGGGTTCAGTTCTTAGAACTATAAGAAGGATAAAAGAGGGCTAGCCAGATAGCTCAGTGGACTAGAGCACCTGCTTAGGCAGAGTGCAGCAGCCACGGTTCAAGCCCCTGTGTGCCATGTTGGCCCCACCCCCAGGGCATGCTGAGATGGTGATTTAAGACGGCATGGTGGCATGCACCTGTAATCCCAGCCCTTGGGAGGCTGAAAACCAGATGATCACTAAGAGTCCAATCTACATGGTGAGACCGAGTAGACCCTGTACTAAATACATAAAAAAATAAAAAGGAAAAAAGAAAAAATTTTTTTGGACGGGTGTTACTGGGATTGAACCCAGGATGTTTGCAGTGAAATGCCTCTCCAGCCTTTATTTTATTGTATTTTAATTATATTTTACTGGGGATTGAGCCCAGGGCAATGAACTACAACCCTAGCCCTTCATATGTATTTTAAATCATGGTTTCACTAAGTTGAGGCAATTCTCCTATGTCTCCCTCTCAAGTGCTGAGATTACAGGTGTGTTCCCTCTCTGGTTGGTCTTTTCTGTTTGTTTGTTTGTTTGTTTGTTTGTTTCCTTCCTTCCTCTTCTTTTTTGCTTTTCAATTTTTTGAGACAAAAAAATGGATCTTGTTACATAGTCCAGACTGTCCTTGAACTCACAATGGAGTCTAGGCTGACCTTGAACTCACAGCGGTCCACCAACCTCAGCCTCCCAAGTGCTGGGATCACAGGCCTGTGCCTCTGTGCTCAGCTGGTTGCTCTTTATTAAGAAAAACAGGCATTTGGGGCAGGGATTGAACTCAGCACTGTAGCAACTACATTGCATGTGGGAGGCCCTGAGTCTGATCCTCTGCACAGCCAGTAGGGATTCGAGCATTTCCACTTAGACATTTTGAAACATGCCCAAAGATGGAAGAGGTTGAGGAACCGCAGCACTCATCTCGCGGCCTGCATGCCGCAGCCCCCGCACTCAGCCCTCAGCATTGTCTATGGGAACATTTCCATGTCTGCCCTTCCCTCTGAGATAACGGTGCTGGATACGACACTGCTGCACCTGAAACACTTAGCGGAAGGAAATGGGAGTTTTAAAACTTAGGCTCAGTGTTTAGAAGACCTCACAATTGACATCCTCAGCTCCATCCTTCCTATTCACATTGAACCAGCTCAGTCTCCTGGGACTTATAGCCACTTGCTTGCTCTGTGGTTTCCTCTTGGTGAGACTTCCATGTGAGTGCCTGCAGACATCAGGTTCTGGCCTTATATACCATGAATTCACTTCAGCTGGGCAGGAGCTCACTAGTGGTTAGTGCCCCATTCCCCCCGCTCTGTGGTTGCAGGTCTGGGGCTTCAGCAAGGCCGAGTGACTTGTGCAGGCCCCACTCAGGGGCCTCATCCCACTGTACTCCAGGGCAGCCTCCATAGCTGCTGCGAAGCACAGCCTCAGCCTGGCCCGCAGCCCTTCTGCCTCACACAGCCATACCTCTCTCTTTCCCACCAGGTGTGTTCCGGGGTGGTCATGACATCCTTGTGCGTGCTCGGCTGTTGCTTTTGGACACAGTGACAATGCAGGTGACAGCCCGAAGTTCCGAGGAGCTGCCAGTTGACATCATCTTGGCATCTGTGGGCTAGGAGGCCTGAAGTCTTGCCTTTCTTTTGCGGGAGTCTGGTGGAAACTCCTTCCCCAGATTGTGTACTCAGAAACAAACTTAGCATTGTGGTTTTGTGTTGAATTCTGTTCCTCTTGTTAAGAACTGCTGAAAAATAACTTCAAAACAGGATGGTTTTAGCTTTTTCTAGATTGTGTTACTTGCCTGCAAGGGAAGAGACATCACAAAGTTTGGACTCATTCTTGAATTTATCCCCAAGAAATGTATCCCCTCTGTATACAATAAACGAGCATGTATTTATGGATCGACTGCATCTTCTGCAGGCTCGTCCTTGGGGTTACACATCCCCTGCCCTGTCCCACCAGTGCTACCCAGGTCAAGGAGTAGCTGCTCTGGTGCCTTCACCACCCCTCCCTAGGTGATAAGTGGGGTCCTCCAAGGTTCGAGGGGTCTGCCTGGATTTCCGCATTGTTAGGTTCTGGGAGTAGTGAGCCAAGCACTCAACACTCAACAAGTGTGGCCCAAATACACTACAAGTGCTTGTTTTTAAAATGGGAGCTTCAACGGGTAGGATTACTCCAAATTCAAGCTGCCTGGGCAATGTGGTGGGACCCTGTCTCAAAGAAAGAAGCTGGGGATGTAGCTTGGCAAAGGACCCAGGTATTGGTACCATGTAAGGGGTCTTCCTGAGAGGTCCAGATTGTGTGTCAGGGTGGGGGAGCCACAGGGCTTGCTCCGGTGCCCAGTGTCAGGCAACGAGTGTGGCCCAGCGGTTTTCCTGTTTCTCTGTCCACTCAGAGGGGCCTAACAGGTTGATCCCTGGAAGATTCTGGCATAAGTCCTTCCCTCACTAGGGGGCTTGTCCTGGGGGCGGGGCTGGGACCCAGGCTGAGCTTGCGTCAAGCTGTGAAGGACACTGAGGTGGCCCCTGGCCAGCTGAATGGTGAGGCTCTGCGTGGAGCCCATTCTGTCTGTCTGTCTGTCTGTCCGTCCTTCTCTCTCTCTCTCTCTCTCTCTCTCTCTCTCTCTCTCTCTCTCTCTCTCTTTCTTTCTTTCTTTCTTTCCCTCTCCCTGATGTGTACCGTTTCTTTTTTTCTTTTTTGGCGGAACCGGGGATTGAACTCAGGCCCTTGTGCTTGCCAGGGAAGCGCCTATTCCACTGAGCCATCTCCCCGGCCCCATGGAGCTCAGTCTTGAGGCCAGCTTGCATGAGCAGGCGGACAGGACCCTGGGGCATATGCCTTGAGCCTGTCCTCACTCTCAGGTGCCTGGTTGGATTGCCCTCTACCCTGCAAGCTGAGGGGGGTGTGAAGTGGGGCGGCAGAGCCACCGGGACTGGGCACGGGCTCTGGTACTACAGGGTCTGATCCCGGATTCAACCCAGGGACCCAGTTTTCCACTTCCGGGACTGAGGCGGGGCAACTCCTGCAAACTCTGCCTAGTGGGAGCTCCAGGAAGTTTCCAGGGAACCGAGGGTGGGGGAGTGGGGGCTGGGAGCTGAGCGTCTGATCCCAGCACAGCCTTCTGCTGGGTGTTGGCGCAGCCTATAATCCCAGCATTGGGGAGGGTCAGACTAGAGGTTACTGGATGTTCAAGACCAGGTTGGCCAAGTAGGGAGTTCAAGGCCAGCCTGAACTGCATAGTGGGACAAAAGACAGACAAACAAAAATAAAAACACTCCAAAACCTTCAGGGAACTATAGTGGCCAGTTACCGGCAGCTGAGGCAAGAGGATCGCCGCCAGATAGGCTGAAACACTAACATCATTTGTGCCATGCCAGTCCTGACTACATTGGTGAATTTGAGGCCATCTTGGGTAACATAGACCATAGCAAGACCCAGACCACAGCAAGACCAAGACACTGCTTCAGAAAACCAAAACTGCGGTGGGAGGAGCTAATTTAAAACACTTCTGAGATTTCTCAAGCACTGAAAAATTTGTTCTTTTTGATGGTGTTTTCTTTTAGTCATTTAATTTTGTCTTTTATTAAATTTAGAAATACATGTATTTGGTTTCATTACTTGAAAAGCTTGGAAAAGTATTTTTCTCCTTAGGTCCTGGGGATTAGCACAGGGCCTTCACACTGAGGTACATCCTCAGCTCTTTATTTTGAGACAGGCTCTCTCTAAATTGCTAAATTGTCCAAGCAAACAGTCCTGCCTCATCCTCCCAGGATGTGGCTACTACAGGTGTGTACCCCCACACCTGGCTTGGTTACTCTGAAACTTAATTGTATTTATTGTGTTCATGGTGTTGGAGTGTCGATTAATATTTTATTCATTTTGAAGTGGGGGGAAGGTTATTTAGCTCCCAGTCTGTGGAGGTTTCAGTCCATGATCAGCTGGCTCCAAGGTAGGGTAGTAGAGGGGCAATAGTTTATGGTGGTGTAAGGAAAAAAAAAAGCAGGCTAGCACGCGAGCTAGCGAGAGGATTAATTTGTAATAAAACTGAATCTTTTATCCTGTTCTAAAATGCAAACATTCCCTATGTCTTCTTAAGTATTTTACATGCTTTTGATAACATCATAAATGTCATTATTTTGTGGACATGGTAGTGTACATCAGTAGTGTCAGCGACTGGGAAGGTTGAGGCAGGAGGACTCCTCAGGCCAGCTTGGCCACTTACTTGGTAAGACCTAGTGCACCAAAATAGAAAGGATTTATGATGTAGTTCACTGGGAAAGCCCTGGGTTCAATCCTCAGTACTGTAAAAGTAAATGAGGTTTTGAAAAATTGTTTTTAAAGATTGCTGTTATTTCATTTGGTAAATATTTGATATTTCATTTTTCTTAAATGTGTACATTTTAAGACAACATTGGAAGCATTTACCACAGTCCTGCATGCTAAGTTGAAGCAGTATGACAAGCAGGAAGGACAGGAGGGACATGCGGGCAGAGCAGGTTGCCCCAGGAAGCAGGGTACCAGATTGCATTGGTCCTTGGATTATGACTGCTGGATGGGTGCAGGTGAACATTGTGAGTGGGTTCAGTGGCATACACTCCACTGGTGCGCATCCAGCACCAGAGAGGAACAAATGCCCAACCAGATGGTGTGCGTGGCAGCTGCAGCGGCTTACATACCATAGGGAGGAAGCTTTATGCCACCAAGCCTCCTTCCATTGCTGGCTGTGGGTCAGGGGATTGATGGTGATGGCAGAGTTGCCCCTGAGAGAGTTACCATGCGGTCTAGTGTAGGGCTTGCCCAGCCTGGGTGTAGAGCTCCTCTGCGTGTTTGCTTTCAGCCAGGCAGCATTGGGGCTTAAGAAAGTGCTGAGAACTGGGAGAATCTGGGAGCACTGGAGGCCACTGACCAGGGCAGGGACCTTTGACTGCTGGGAGCCCCCGATGGAGGAGAGCTGCTGTATATCTGTCCCATCATCAGCATGGATTCCTGCAAGAGCTTACATGACATCCACCACAGACAGGCAAGCTTTTCTGTGTTTAATATTGGGGAGCAGACTCTACAAGTGCTAAGTCATGTAAAAAGGGTAGAACTGTTTTCTTCTTTAAAAAAATTATCTGCAGCTTCTGCCCTTTCCAGCCAGGTCAGCGCTGCACAGCACTTCTTGAAGCTGTTCCAGCCATGGATGGTTCTTTTATTTTTGCAGTGTTGTGGCTGCTGTGACTTTCTTTATATCCTTTGCTCTGGAGATAATCTTGTTTTTTTTCTTTCAAGGTGCTTTATTATTTGAAGCTTCTTAGCATTTAGAATGTTGTCATTGCTCTCTTATGTGCTGCCCTGTATGTTTTGAGCCAGAAAGCCGAGCCGCTTTGGAGAAGTGCTAAGAGTAAAACATAAGATAAATACTGGAATGGCAAATAAATGACCAGCACTTCTAACAGTTTGAGGATAGGATATCGCACAAAGTTCTAGTGTGTTGTGGACATGCATAATGACCG